TGTTTTGCGTCTCTTTGTGGTCATTGTGCGTCCGTTTGTCACTGACGTTTTTGGCCAGAACTCAAGAATTTATAAATTTCACCTGGTTGTCTAATAGGATCTAAAAAAGGGGAATGACATTTGAAGGTTGGCACAGACAGTTCTCACAACTTAATTTTAAATGTAATGTTTATTGTTGAAAAGAACAATAAAAGTACAATATTTGACTAAACTAAAGTATGTGAATACCATTTGAATGATGAGGCCCATTTGTCACATTAATTATTATTTCACAAAGCTTCATTTCTTGAAGTTGCACAGACAATTTGTTGACGACACGATGAGCGACAAAAGACATTAAACCTACAAGAAGACTCAAATATAAATCGCTTCCCTAAATAATCATCAATTAGTGACTTTTTTCTTGCAAGTCTTAAGATCTTGTTGTGAAAAGTCACTAATAAGAAAAGTGTGCTATTTAAAAAAAAAAAGTTGCATTACAATGTGAAGAAGAAGAAGTATTGATTTTGCCGTTCATATTGTTGTGTGCAACATGTTAGATATAATAGACCAACAAGGTCAGTAGAGTTCTTTAACCTCTTAAACTCCGCTGGCTTCGTCTTTTACAAACACGTGTTGTGCTGCCAAACATGGAAATGTGAAGCGTTTCAGCTGACTTTGAAGATAATAAAGAAGGAAAAATAAAATGCAGTGTGTGTGTACAACATCACAGTAACACCACTCATTTAAATCCAGGGTTCCTGTGGCTCCTGCTGGGCCTTCAGTGCCGTAGGGGCCTTGGAGGGCCAGTTAGCCAAGACAACTGGGAAGCTGGTGGACCTCAGCCCCCAAAACCTGGTGGACTGTTCGAGCAAATATGGCAACCACGGCTGCAACGGTGGCTTAATGCACCACGCCTTCCAGTACGTCATCGACAACCAGGGCATCGACTCGGAGGCTTCGTACCCGTACAGAGGAAAACAGGTGAGTAACTGCTTTAATCCTGCTGCTCAACGAGGCATCGAGGGGATTTGGAAAGACCCGTTAAACGTTGGGAAGAAAAAGAAACGTGGAAAGGAATTTAAAAAAACAGAAAGAAAAGGTCAGATCAAATATACGCACTCGTAAGCACCTACAAACCCAAGTTAATAACCTCAGCCATGATGTTTATGACCTCTGTGGCAGTTGACTGTTAAATCACATTTTCCTCAAGCAAGAAATTATAACACAAAGTCGCACAACAGCATCGAAACTGAGAGGGAAGAACATGAACATTACAAAAAGGAATTCTCTGGCATCAGTTTCCCATCTTTATTTCTCACATTTGCGACTTCTGAGAAACTAAAGAGATTAGAAACATCTGGTGAAGAACGTGAGAGAGAATGCTGCATGATCCAACAAAGCAGGCGGTAAAAGACGTTACATTCATGAGCTGGAAGTGAGGTTGCTCTCTTAAAAGTGATGACGTTTGCAGCAACTTTCAAGCGATCAGGAAGCGAGTTTCAGGAATTTGTTCCTTTCACAGAAAAAGCTGTTTTGAACAAAAGATGTTTTGCAACACGAAGCAAAGCGATATCATTTCTAGATAAGGTCTTTTTAAACAAAGGGGCAAAATATTCTGAATCTATTATTAAAAAACACTTGTAAAAGCTTTCACTTTAAGGGGAGAGAGTTGAGCGATGTGTATAGTATTTTAGTATATTTCTTAGTATATCTTAGTGTAGTACGCCGTGTTTAAAAATGTGTAATGCGCGTGAAAACCACTTCTGCATGTCATGACTTATATCTAATGTTGTAGGCACTTGTTGTTAGCTTTGTGGGCAGCTCTCTATGTACGTATATAATAAGTAGCTGTTCTGGAGCTTTCAATCATATCACAGGATCTTGAATTTTAAACGTTTAAATTATATTTTCTTCTGATAACATAAGCTAGTAAATGGAACTTGTGGTCAGTTTGTTTCCGAGGGCAATAATGATACTTTAGGCATAACATCCTGTTTGTGTTACACACTAATAACTTGTTTTAAGTCTCTGTGTCGGCGGGTTTAACGTGTAGATTTTTGAAAGCAGAAATGGTACATTTTAACGTTTTAAGCTTCTTAAATGTGAATATGATCTTGTTTTGTTCTATGACAGTAAAGTTGATATATTAGATTTTTTTGGATCGTCGGTTGGACAAAAGACATTTGAAGACTTTTCTTCACACCTCAGGAACTTGTAATACATTTGTCACTATTTGCTTATCGAACAAACAAAATCAAGAAAACTATGAGTAGATGGAATATGGAAAAAATGAAAGGTGACAATTGTACATATTTTGAATATACTTAGTTTATTAACCTTTATTTATCCAGGAATAAATCCCATTGAGATTCAAAATCTCTGGCCAAGAAGGAAGCATTAAAAGTTTCACACAAAAGAACAAACGACAGACTTAAAACTAACATTTCACACATAAAAGAGACGAGGAACAAATTAGCACAATTACATCAACCAATAAATGAACAGTGTTCAGTAACAGCACAATAGCCCTTAATCCTGATTTTATCATCTTATGAAATAATCTAGTTTAAAGTGTCTCTGAAGCTCAGAAGATGACGGTGCAACAGCTTTAAAATCACTTACACCAAACACGGTGCAGCTTCTGGGAATGACTTACATAATTAGTCCGCATGACGAATGTTGCACTTCTGTTTTTGGCGTCAGTGGAGAACATAAAACAGGAAGCGGTGTGTGTAATATGAGCTAATGACAAACTGCAATAATGTGTGGGGGAACCCCCAATTAGAGACAAATCATAACGCAGCATGATGCTCTGAATCTTTCATTTTCAAAGAAGACGAACTTGCATACATATAAAATAATAATTGATTAATAATAATCAGTCGCTGATAAAAGCATTGCTTTAATTCCCTTTTTCCCTGCAGCAAAAGAAAACCAGCATTTGTATCTATAATAGAAAGCGTTTATTGCAATAGTTCATGGTGCTTCCCTGATTGTCTCTTACGAAGGCCCAAGAATGAATCAGGAAATTGAGGACGGAGTTGAGACCGGCATGGTGTTCCTCTTTTAGTGGAAACGTATAGGAAACCCAGCACAAACTCAGGTTTACAGTTAACGAATCCCCGCGTGAGACAACAACGTGGGTGTACAAGAAGTTAAGTCCGACCCTCCAGGCTGTGGACTGCAACACTCTCCTCACTTGTCTGTGGTCCGCCGTTAATGTCTCTTTGGAGCAACAATAAATTAATCGGAGCGGACAACGTGTTTGTCCTCCGGGCTTCATCTGGTTTCGCTGTTGTTGGCGTTTGTGTGGAGGAGGAGGAGGAGGAGGAGGAGGAGGAGGGCAGTTGTGAGACGATCCGACGGACTGCTGCAGTCTCACGGAGGTGTTGTGGCTCCAATTCACCCAAAAACATACATCAAATGTCTCTGTGATGTGAAATATTCTCCTAATTTCCTGCCTCGCCTTCTGGAGCTGGACAATGTTAAAAATGAATTGCTGAGAAAAAAGTTAAAATGTTAAATACATGGACGTCATCCCAGTTGGTCAGTTCATTTCATTGCTTCCTTTCAGACCGTCGGGTATATTTCACACAGTGTGGATGCTCAGTTTTAACCCCGGTTCGTCCTCTCCCTTCAGTCACAGCAGTGCCTCTACAAGGCCGCGTACCGCGCCGCCAACTGCTCCAATTACAGCTTCCTGCCTCAAGGAGATGAGGGGGCTCTGAAGGAGGCGGTCGCCACCATTGGACCCATTTCAGTGGCGATTGACGCCACACGGCCCACATTCGTCTTCTACAGGAGTGGTACGTTACACATCATCACTCTCATCTTTACTAATCTGACTTGGATGCAGATGTTTGGAACCGGGTGGGGGATGGAAACAAAGTGGTTTGTCGTTTATTTATGTGGAAATTTCAAGTTAAATACTCCCTGAAAATCTTGTTTATGCCGGTGAAAAGTGGTTTAACTTTTGCATTGATGCACAGATGTGCTCCAGGAATCACTGTTGAGTAGTTAAAGGTGCGGAACAGCTCAATGTTATCCAGTTGGGGCAGTAAAACACTACATTACAGCTTTATATTAAACTACTCATTAAAGTGTTAGACACTTAATCCCTCACCAGAATCAATAATAAGACAATTTATTCCTCATTAGTCTTTTCAAAATATACTTCTGTCCTCACAGGAAACTACTTGGTTAGGTTTAGGAAACAAGATAAAATTTTGGGTTAAAACTACTACAGTGTCATTACTTAATTAAGTACGGAAGTTACTTGACGAATATATGAACACTGACTGCTGGTTTCACACGGGACACAAACAGCGGTGATAATGACACAACTTACTATATAAAGACATTTCAAAACATTAGAATATGGGCAAACAAATGTGTATTTATTTTAAAAAGTATACTTGAAATTCCCGGCTTAAATGTTTCTAAAAAATAACAGATGTAATTATAATTGATGGATTTGTTTTTTATTTTGAAACCTGCCATTTCAGGAGTGTACGATGACGCGAGCTGCTCCCAGACAGTGAACCACGGCGTGTTAGTGGTGGGCTACGGCACACTGAAGGAAGGGGACTACTGGCTGGTAAAGAACAGGTGGGACATTTTATACTTCCCCATACATACATACAAATATACATACATACATATGTACATGCATACAAATATACATGCATTCTGATCCAGTTTCATTCTCCTCATTTATTGCATGATAAACATCCCAACCTGCTGCCTGTTGTAGCTTCCTCTCACCACACAGTATTCCTTCATCTGTTTCTCCTATTTGTGTTTGGTGCAGATGTACAAACAGGGAGATTGGCCCTTTAATAAAGAGGTTAAGTGGTGACAACATTATTTTATTATTTTTAAGTGGATTGTTTTTAATAGATTTTGACTGGGTTTATATTTTAACTTTCTATCTTATCTTATGACACTAATTAGCAGCATTACCCTTTTAAAGTACTTTGCATCTTAACCTGGATGTTGATTACGATGCTCACCTGTTCTCTCTAATGACTGAGGACATGCAGCTGTGAAATGGTGGGTGGGGTCGACCATATAAATGTGGCGTTTAGGACGTCACAACACACTGGAGAAGACGTGAGGCCTGAACATCTGTGTCACGTTTTGTTCCACTTAACTGATAAAACAATCTTTTAATTAAAATGATGAAAACATTCAAGATCATTTCTCAGAATATTCCCCCTATCCATATTAACACTTTAGCTAATGCTAATCATAACACTGAAAATAGTGCATGCTAAGCTATTAGCATGAGGCGCTAATGATGCACGCGTGTGGCTCTTCTGGTCATATTCTCGTCACTTAACAAGGATCTTTACAAATGAGTCAGTATCAGCATAACACTTTTGTTAGTCCCTTTATCTACATCTTATTTTTCTCTGCTCTTTGCATCCAGTTGGAACACTACATTTGGAGACCAGGGCTACATCCGGATGGCTCGCAACAAGAGGAACCAGTGTGGCATCGCTGAGTATTGCTGCTACCCCACCATGTAGCTGCAGAGGGAACTGAACTGAATCTCTTGCAGATTAAGTTCCCTTCTCTTTTATGTAGAGGCTACAGTATATTTACAGTTTAATTCCATGTTGATTCAACCATTTTTCTTCAGGTTTTGTTTTTAAAACTCCTTTTTAATGCACCTTTTTTATGACAAAAGCCAAGTGTGACAAATTTTCAAACATTATAGTTATTGTAGTTGTCTTAAGTGTGTGTTTGTTTGCATCCAACACAATGTATGTGTGGGGTTTTGAATCTGTAATAAAGATACATTTGTAATCTGTAATCTCTAGTTTTCAGTCAATTTCATGTTTCCTGACCAGGAGGCAAATTTAAGGAACTACCTTAAACCTGCATTCTCTCTAGTGTCCACCAGGGGGCGACTCCTCTGGTTGTATAGAAGTCTATGAGAAAATGACTCTACTTCTCTCTTGATTTATTACCTCAGTAAACATTGTAAACATGAGTTTATGGTCTCAATCTCTAGTTTCAAGTCTTCTTCAATACAGCATGATGTTCATTTAGTACATTATGGTCCATTTAGAGTCACACAGACCATAAAGCAGGGGATGCTTTAGGGGCGGGGCTACACGGTGATTGACAAGTCGCTACCACAGCGTTGTCCGGTTTGGGAAAATGCTGAGAAATGCTTTTTGGTAGATTTTTTTATTTTACTGACGCTCTCATCAAACATTAACCTACTTTACCAAAGAGTCCTCAAGAGGAATAGTTTATATTTTAATCATATTTGGTTTTTTTTTTTAAATGGAGACGATAGATTATACTGTACCTGTCCATTAAATATGAAGCTACAGCCAGCTGCTGGTTAGCTAAGCTAGGTCAGCTAACATAATTCACCTAAAGTTCGCTACATAACATGTCTCATCTGTTTAACCCGCACTAAAAGCTGAAACGTAAAAACGCCAAGTCGTGGTTTTACAAATGGACAGAGCCAGGTTTCCCTTCTGTATGCTAAGCTAACTGGCTGCTGCCTTTAACTTTAATATCTAGTGACTTTTAGAAAGTTAATCAGAATATATTGAACTATTTCTGTAAAAGCTGCTAACAAAATAACATCAGTAATATGGGTGTATCAATATATTGACTGACAGATTTACTGTCTAAACTCTGAAAGGCCTCTTCATCCTGGAAAACATCGACTCCTTTTAATCTCTTAAATGCTGCTGTTCTACTCGTCGTTCATCAACAGAAACCCCTGTTATGTTTAAGCATTGTTTAAACTCACAGAACTTCTGAATCCTTCCAAAACTACCAAATATGTGACAAAAATCCGAAAGAAATTCAAACAGTACCGGAATATTTACGTTACACTGTAGCGAATATAAACTGTTTTCATAAAGCATCATAGAGCTGAAAGAAGCCGATGTTAAACACTGTACATCATGCAATAGGGTCAACTTTAACGGCAATATCTGGGTCTATTAGGGTGATTTCCTGCAATTTTATTGGATGATCATAATGTAATTTAAAAGTACAGTTGAAGACTGCAAAGTAGGCATTTACTGGATAGCAACATTTTCAAACACTATTTTTGTCAGCCTTGGCCTTTAGAAACCCAGAGATGCGAAACACCTCAAGCAAGGTCAGAATAAAGTCAAGAAGAGCGCAGTGTTGGGTTACAAATGAGTCATTTTTATTTTTTTAGTGCAACATCACAACAAACAATTTTCACATGAGGTATTCAAAGGGATTTTTCTTTAGTTGTTGATACAAAATGTCCCACCATGATTGACGTTTAAAGTGTTGTGTATCTTTTTTTTTTCAAAGCCTTTGGTTGGTTAGCCACATTCATTAGTAAGTCTAACACATGGACAAGAATGGCACGATAAAGCATGGTGGGTCGAGTCCGAGCTGAGGAAACTCAGACTCAGTCAAATATAATATTTCCCTCAACTCGTCCCCGTTTAAAGCTTTTTGTATGGATTTAATTAATTCCTACTTACAACAGTGGGATCGAACAGTATTTCAACTACACTAAACATTTTGGAAAAAACAGGGGTTTGAAGGGGTGGCTTACAAATGTGGAAAAATAGCTTCTGTCTCCTCCGACCTTTTTTATTTTTTGGATGAGAGCTTGATTTTTGGGCTTTTCTGTTACAGCAAGTCACATGATTCTAAGTTTTCGGAGAGAAAAAAAACAAGGAATAGGCAACGTTGATTACAGCAAGATCCTCCTTGCTTGGATTGTCACCTCCCTTCTTTTTTTTGGTCTTGAGAATGATTTTATTTATATACAGAACATGTATCGATGGGACACTCTAGCATACTGGACTTAAGCTTCGGCTGGACGGGGGCCTTGTTCGGCTCCTGTTACGGATTGATTCCAGCACATTTGGTTTGGAGTAAAAGGCATGAAGAAGAGACGGATGGACAGACAAGATAGATAGATAGATAGATAGATAGACAGACACCCTGACAGGATGGATTCTTTGGTTAAGGAATATCTTTGCCACACAACATCTCACACAGTTGAGGTAGATGGGTAAAGTCTTCATGTACACATGGGGGGGGGGGGAAGACAGGGTAACACTGGGGTTTACAGAGTCAAAAGACTTCCATCTGAAGACACTGCCTCATGTCAGTTTCTCAGTTCCAGCTCAACATGATACTGTTTTATGCAACATAAATAATCAGCACGCGGAACCCCACTGGTGCTTTTTTGAATCCTCTGAGTGCTACGATAGCTCTGATAGGGAACTGCTAAAACTACCCATGATACATCACCGTTCAGCAGTCACCCTTCAATCTTTGGTTGTTGTTGTTTTTTTTGGTTTAAACATTTTCAAAAAAAGAGATTTTTTTTGTTTTTTTGGTCTTTTTTATTCTGAAAGTAAACATTAGCTTTCAGTTCTGCTATTTCATTATTTAACGTTCCCCTCAGAATTGCTCTTCCAACGGCCTCTGCTGCCAGACTTGTTTTTCTAGGGTCCAGTTCCTAGAAAAGCCACCAGGGGGCGATGCTGATTCACTCCTCCCTCCCTCTCGCCTCCTGTCTGCACAGAGAGGGAAGAGCTTCCCCGCTTGACACGGAGCAGAAGGCTCAATACAAAAAGCTCTGTCTCCATTTTAGGCTCCCAGTCAGAGAGACAAAGAGAAACCTGAAAGGTGTCACCTCCGCTTTGATACGATGACAGTGGCGTGCAGGGGTCGGCAGAGGAGCCTCAAAGCTCTTTTATTTTTTTCATTTCCCCCCCTGTACAGACTCCACCGCACACCCCCACCATCGCCCCCCCTTTGCTCTCAGCATGCTTACAATTGTTGCTCATTAAAATTTAATTCAGCTCTATGCCCCACTACTCCAACACCTCCTTTTCCTCGAACAGCCCCCCTCCCACCTCTCCTACACACACACACACACACACACACACACACACCACTACCACCATCCTCATTCTGGATGATTCAGCCTCCTCTCTGATCTCCCCCCGCCCCCTTTGAATGCCCCCTAAAGCCCACAGGTCTGGCCAAGAGCGGACCCCAGACCAGATACCCAGAGAGGAGACGGGATGAAAAAAGCCTCCTCTTTGAAGTCCGCGGAAAAGTCGATGGCCTCTTTCATGACCGCCCGTCTTTCAAGTGCACGCTGTGAAGGGGGCCCCGGCAATCCGCCCCCTTCCAACGTTAAAGACAGAGAAAGAGAGAGAGAGAGAGAGGGTGGAAAACAGCCAAGCTAACCTCCCCAGTCTTTGGTAGCATTTACACAGAGAGTCTGTTTTTCTCCTAATTTAGGCGTCTACAACACAAAATGCTGGAAAATCAAATCACTTGTGCCTGTGGAAGCTAAGTTGAACCTAAACAACCCTAACGGACCAGGAATGAACTCCAAGAACCCCAGATGATCAGGAAATTAATCCTAACGCTCTTGTAGGGCCCCAAAAGCCTTGCAACATAATCACAGAGCCCTGCAAGATGAGGATCAAACTCTTAGACCCTTAGAAGTTCAGACAGACAAAACCAAGAAACATAAGAGGCCTCACAACCAAATCAGAGTCCATAAAAGATGAGGAACGAAGCAAAACAACCCAAGAAGGCCAAGCTCTAAGACCTTTAGAACCCAGGGAACTAAAACCCAAGATCCACAGAAGATGAGGAACACACTTTAAGAACCCCAAAGGTCCAGGGACAAACCCTAAAACCATTAGAACCTAGGAACCAAAGATCCAAGACCCCCAGAAGATGAGGAGCACACTTTAAGAACCCCAAAAGTCCAGGTACAAACCCTAAAACCATTAGAACCCAGGAACCAAAAGTCCAAGATCCCCAGAAGATGAGGCGCACACCGTAAGAACCCCAAAGGTCCAGGAACGAACCCTAAGAACCCTGTTGGAACTGAGACAACTGGGCATGTGGAGGACGGTGAGATCACACTGAGTTGGACATAGACAGGAGTGTCTGCACTGCATTGGGGAGGGGGGGCAGGTGAGGGGGATGGGGGGGTGGCACTCAATGGTGGCTTCAGACGGCTTTAAGTGGGTCCTCAGACACTTTACACTCTCCGCCAGATGGCATTGCTCTGAACACAACTTTACGAGCAACCTGTGAACCTATGGGATGCCACATCATCATCGTTATTATTGTTATTATTCATAGCATTAATTCTAAATATTATCACAACATTCAAACAAGCTTTGGCCTTGGCGTTAAGAGCTGACCGCAGAGACATTTGCAAGAGTAAAGAAATCCCCATTATTCTACAAAAAAGAAAGCAAAAAAAAAAACGAAAAACAAAGGCCAGGCCTTAAAGATAGAGAGAGATACGCAACATCACTGGGTGGGTCGGGCTGAATCGGGGTGGGATCAGGTTGGGATCGGGTACTGGGTTCAGGGATTCAGGCCGTACATTCAGGGAGGCAATGTTAATCTTTGGTATTACGATGGGATTCTACAGCTAAAAGTGCCCATCAGAAAAAGTCTTCAGTTTCACACAGACATACAGAGCATTGTTAAATAAATACTTACAGTATATAGATAGCATAAATAAATAACCAAATAAATAGAGGAAAGAAATAAAGGGAAAACAATAAATACACAAATTCAGTAATAAATACATTGATCAGATCAGCAATTGCATTTGAGACGTTCTTGGTTTGATTTAACGATCGGCTATAAGGAGGCATGTTAAAGCCGTTCCTTTGTGGACCAAAAAAATGACCTTGTACATCAGCAGGGCTGAAACAAACTGCCCCACACCTCCATCGTGTTTCTATAAATAGAGCGATGTGCTTGAAATCTGTACAAAAAGGGCTGAAAGAATCACATTCCTCCATTTTCTAGACATCTGTAAAAAAAAAAAAAAAAAAAGGAGAAGAGGTTTCGTGATGGAGCAGAGGTGTGTACAGTTATTTGGAAATGAGTGGAAAAACAAATACTACAATGTCACTATACATTGTGTCGGGTGTAGCTCTTCCCCACGGAGCATTTGTGTTCAAAGGTTGTTTTTCTTCTTCCTTTTTTTTTTTTTTTGGCTTGATTTTTGAGTCAAAAAAAATGGCTGTGGAGCTTTCGATTGGAAGCTCAGTCAGAGTCTTAAAGCTAGACAGTTGCACCGACAAGTCCGTTTCTGCATCCCTCCTTTGTGTTTATTGATCCGGTCCTGGCGTACGGCGAGCTGCGCCGCGGTTCCCCCTCTCGAGAACTCTGATTCATTCGAGGCGGGACCATCTTTCGCGAAACACAGGGGAACGGGCTCTCCCGTTTGAGGGGTATAATGATTGACGGCTGGGAGTCACGGACGCTACATAACCCCCCCTGATAATTCCAGGCTCCCGAAAACGTGGAACTACGGCGTACAGTCCTGGGAACCATCACCATGGTAACACATGCTAAGAAAGGAGAATTAGGTTCTTCGGGAAAAAACAGAAAAAACAGAAAACTGGGTTAAAAAAGAATAAAAAGCCTTTTTCTTCCTCTTTCACCTTGATTCTTGAGGAAAAAACAGGACCATAAGGACATCGGGGGAGTATTAACGTCTTTGGATGATGGTGAACACTTTTGATTAAGAAGATATACGATGGAGCTCGCCATGCGTGAGCAAACGCCACCTCTTGATTCTTCACGTTTGGAGAGACGACTATAGATTAGAAGGTACACCAAAATATGCTTCCTCCTGATTTGTAATACCCTCATTATCTCTAATCTAGATAATCAAAATAATGCAATGAGACGGCGTCTATGTGAGGGTGTGACTCTGTCTTTGAGTCAAATCATCTTTGCACCCTCGACTATACAAGCAGGACCTCGCATCCTGCGGTCGTATCACTCTGGGTATCGCCCCCCTTTTATTTCAAGGGAGCGATCAACTTTGGTTTGGGAAAAACAAAAAGCTTCATCTTCATAAAATCATCTATAACAGCTCGGCTCTGTCGCTCCTTCTGATAACGAGGAGGACATTTATGACGGCTGATCTCTGCCTAGACCAGTCTATGTGCCCCCCTTGCTCCCTTTCGGCGCCCCTCCCCACCGCCCCTCCTTGGCGGTCCGTCATCATGCCGTGCTGCAGGACACGGCCGAGGAGGAGACGCTGGAGCCCGAGGAACCCGTGGAGGAGGGACGGCCCTCGTCCGCCCACTTGTTGACGTTGCGTCGGCGGGCGTTCATGAAGAAGTTGCTGACGGTGGAGAGCTCCAGGCCCAGCTGCTGGGAGATGGTGATCTGCAGCTCTTTGGTCGGGCGGTGGTTCTCCCTGAAGATGGCCAAGAGGGTGCGGCGCTGCAGGTCCGTGAACACCAGCCGGGTGCGCTTCGGGCCCTGGTTTCGCTCCAGCTTGCTCTGCTCCTGCTCCTTCCGCTTGCAGGCTGCAACCAGATGGATAAAAGATGAATTTAAAAAAAGGAAAAAGGAAAAAGGTTGGCTAACAGAGCGGCTGGCTAACTAGGACAAATGGATTAAGAGGAGGGAAAGTGGATTTGTTGAAAGAAAACAGATTAGCTCAGCAACTTTGATTAGTTAAAAGAGATGAATCAGCAACTTGTTTCATTGTGCAGTAAAGGAATCAAGATGTTCAACCTATCACATCCTATTAACAGTGAGCTGCTGGAGGCTGCTGGGAAAAAATCACTTCATTCAGGCCAAAGCTCTTCATGGTTTTCATTACACTCTTCCTCCTGGAGAACAGTGTGTTTCTTTACATGTGTTTGGCCTCAAGACAAAGTGCAGAATCTGGTGTTGTCATCCACTGACAATGTCTTCCAAACAGAATAATCACATCCAAACACACAAACAGATGCACAACAACGCTCTCATCTTGCAAAAGTACTGACGAACCCAATGGAAATTACTTTCAGACAAAAAGCGTTTTTCTTTTGCTGCGATGTCATTTCTGCGGCTTATTTGTCGTTAAATCTATTACAAAATGATGGATTCTGGCTTTTCACTCGTCCATGTCTGTTTTACATTTGAAACTGCAATCTACACCAAAGAAAAACAGCAGATACATGAATTTACAGATTAGTCCGGCACTACTCAACCACTCAAAACGATGACTTTAAATTCAACTGATCAGTAAAGTTGTCGGACTCTGCCTTACTTAAGATCCTGTATTTCTGTATCTTTTTCACACCACAGAGGATATATTATCCGAGTGTCGAAGTTGGCCATATTCAAACTTTTAAAGTGGTGATAGAGGTGATGAAGTCTTCTGGTAATTAGTTTATTAATCCCAGTCTTGCTTACACCAACCGCAACACAAGGTCTGGGTTAAACACCACTGTAGCTGCAGCAACCCGTCCAATTATATAATCAATATTTCCTCAGGAAAAAGTCTGAAATTTAAGAAGCACAAAAAAAAAAAGAGAGAAAAGAGTTCAAGTGAGGAAGGAGAAAATAGCCCGATGTGTGTGGGTTGAGCTCAGATTCCATTTTGAGAATCAGACGAGCATTTTGAATTCAGGCTGCATGTTCCTCTCTGCATATCCATCGCTGAACCTTTCACCTCCAACGCGCTGTAATTCTGTATTTACAGGAAACACGACACCAACCTCTGCCTTTGTGTACCGAGCCAACTTCCCCTCCCCTTCCTCCCCTCCTCTTCCTCCCCTCCTCTCTTTCTCTGTCCATCTCCTACCTCTACCTCTCTTCCCTTTCCCTTAGTGGACACTTCAACATCATTAGTTTCTCATGAAAGTCATTTACATGTGGCAGCAGTGAGTGAGTAATAATCACTTTAGGGGGGAACTAATTTATTTTCTATTAAAGGCAGGTTACGTCAGGGGTGAGTGAAACAAGCAGAGTCGGCATTGCCCAGGGTGTTTAGAAGCCTTAAGTGGACTAAAACATATTTGGGGGGGGGGAGTCGTGCAATTACCTAAATGCACACTTTTAAGAGGTCTCAATCAGCACTGTGCGGTTGAGCGACTGTTTTGCTGATGGTATCAAATGTGTTTCTAAGTGTAAGCACTGGTGTATGTGCAGACAGCACAACGGGGCATGCACATTCACACCAACGCACAAATACAAACACACACACACGCACGCACACACACACGCAAAGGGGGGACCAGTGGACTGGTGCTGGACCTTTGTTGAGTACAGGCCTGGAAGTCTGGAATCTGAACAAAAAGTGTATTTTCTTTCTGTTTTGCTGCATATAAATAATGTTTTCAATATTAAAAATAGAGCCGCAACGATTACTCTAGTAATCGATTCGTCCTTGATTAATTAAGCAATTATTTTATGCAAAAGTGTCAGAAAATGCTGTTTTCAGCCTCTCAAATATGGAGATTTCCTGCTTTTTTATTTCATGTGTTTTATATCATATTAAAAATTAATATGTTTTGGTTTTGGACTGACATTTGATGACATCACCCTGGACTTTGAGAAACTGGGAAGGTAATTTCCCACTTATTGCTGACATGCTATTTTATCAATTCATCGAGAAAATAATTGCTAGTTGCCGCCCTAATTTAAACTATTTTTCTATTTAGTGTCCATGATTTCTGACATGCCAAAAAAAGTCATTTTTGTTTAGGAAAAGAGTCTTGAATGTTATATTTTCTCAGGAGAGATTATTCAAACCTGTTTCCGACACAAATACTTGTTTTTTACAGAAAGTTTCCAGAAATCAACTTCTGTATTTTGGAACAAGACATGAAAAAGGCAGAACGCAGCAAAGGAACCACGAAAAACTATACCTTACTTTATAGAAAATGTCTGCAACAAGCTGCTTTCTGGAGGAATCTTGCTGCACAGGCAGATTTCTGTATGTTCATGGTTCTCTTATTATTGAACAAAATGATCTGATTAGATGAAAAAATCAGCGCGAAGCAATAACCTTGAAATCCCATATTTCCAACCCCAACACACACACACACACACAGTCGCCATCAAACTCCCTCATGCTACAGACATACATTATATAAACCAAAGCTGCTGCCTTTTTTTCCTCTCAAAAACAGCGCTGACTCGATCGATTGATTGGCTTACATCTTCCCATTGAGAAACATCTCACGCAGCGAGGGATGATGTTGACTGTATGACCGGCTCTTCACTCCTCAAACTCACAGCGGCAAATTTCTCTCATTAGCAGAAGCGCTTGAGAAATAAGTGTGACCTTACTGCCGTCTTTTCCAGACGAGTGCCATCACAACAGCAGCATCAGTTGCCGGGTGGGGAGCCGTGTGTGTGTGAGTGTGTGTGTGAGTGTGTGTGTGTGTGTGTGAGTGTGTGTGTGCGGCCGCGTTGGACTTTGATTGCTCTGACATCCAGCTGAGTTTCTGAAACTTAAGTACTCAACTGGACATGAATAAATCTGTGGGTGATTTCCCCGTCCTCTCCCCCTGGAATCATTATCTGAAGGAAATGTTTTGACTCGGGGATGCACCCTTGTCAGCTCCAGATTACAGGTGCCTGTTAGCTTTCGGGCCCCCAGAGCTCGTTTGCATTTCTGAGAGTTATCGAACCACGTCTCATTAAAATCTGAACAGGCCAAGATGTCAGCGGCATGTCAATATCACTACAAGTGAAATTTTTCTTAATTTTTTTATTTTTCACCAAATGCTACATTTTTCATGGGCGTTACACCATTCCACCACGTCAATATTTCTGGGGTTGGGTGTTGGGAGGTGGGCTGCAGCTGTGGACGGTATATACAGCGGTGCACTCTCAGCTCATGTAGTAATGAAAGGGATGACATGATGGTGCTGGCTGGCTCGCTTGTAGCGTGGATTTATGGCTTGTTGGAGTCGGGGTGTCCTGCCGCTCTCCTCCTCCATCCTCAGCCTCAGCCTCAGCCTCAGCCTCCCTTTCTGACCATCATAACGCCGACCATTAAGTAAATGCTTCCTTATGCTGTAATCATGTGTAAAAGGCGTACAATTACCATGCTATAAATCCCCGGCGCTGGGGCTACTCCTGGAGACATAAATATTCCCCTATAGGCTTCTTATGATCGTGGGAACGGCCCCTAATCATGATGTATGCCCCTGTCTCGTGTTGCTGAAACGTGATCGAAAGCCCTTTCCCTACCCCCCGGCATCTCAACCTACACCCCCCCCCCTCCCAACCAGAACAGCCCCCATCCTCCACCCTCCACCCTCAACACCCCCCACCCTGCAGCCCCCAGCCCACCCCCTGCTGATTTCTTGGGCCAGGGGCTGATAGAAATTATTGATTAAATCTGTGCAGCTCAGACTCCTCGACCCACAGAGGCTGGTTAACCCCTCCAGCGCCGGAGTGGGGGGAGCTGCAAGAGCTAGATATAAAAAAAAGAAAACAAAAAAAAACCAACAACCCTGTTTGTTAGGTGTATGCCACGTCGGCCTGTTTGCAAATCCCTGCTATGCAAATGGAATCGGCTTTGACCTTTGAGCCTCGCTAGCAGAATGTGAACTGTACGCAGCGAGAGGTGGACGAGGCTCTGTGGCTTTCATTACTGTGGGGGTGGTGCAGGCGCTGGAGCCGACACGTAAACCGCATTGACCTTTCTTATTCATTTAGACCTTTAGTCAAGGGCTTCGGCCATCATCTTTAAAGTTATAGTCTCTGATCCCCCCCACCCCACCCCATCCCAACCCTCCTTGACTTTAAGTGTCCGAGCATGGCTGTGTGGTCTTTATCCTGCCTTCTTCTCCGACTAAATCCTGATTGCCTCCTCCACAGCGTGAGGTTGGGCGAGAGATGCATCTCATATACAGCGCAGTAATCCATACAGTACACACACACACAAGCAAGATACTGCGGATAAATCCGAGGGACCACCTCCTCCGTGTTTAGCAAAACGTCTTATTTGGAAGAAAAAAAAAGACAAAATGGCAGCAGCTACATTTCCAAAATTACTGAGCACCCGGACACGGAGAGCTCCGCAGCCCCGCCGTACATCACAGGCATGGTTATGGAAATAACACAGCACCGCTGGCTGACACTGAGGGGCCTTCTATGTATTTAAGCGAGTGCTGCATTAAGGAGGATCATCTTAAAACGTGAGGCGTGAAGCAGAGAGCACTTGAGCTATCTTCAGACTGGGGAGCGCAGGGCACCACGCATTCTAATTCCAGTCTCGATTCGCCGATGCGGCCGAGGTGTGTGTGGGCAAGGCGTGCTGCTCTTTCCCATGGAAATCAATAGAGGCTTGTAATTAAACAAAAGGGGGTTGGCCAGAAGGGGGATGGAGAGGTGGGGGGGAAACAACAACCCCCTTCGGAAAGTAGGTTATGTAGAAAAAGTGCCGAGCTGTCCAAATTGTGGCTTTGCCAAGAACTAAATATGCAATTTCAGAGTGTGTGGGAGCAGCATTGTCAAACATTTGCACACTTCTCTGTGTACGGGACTTTAATTTTTTATGAGCCCGATTGATCGGCTGCTCGGACTCCGGAGCGCCGACTCGTTAAAAAAAATAATGTTTGTGTTTCTGAAAGACGAGGAAACAAAAGATGCTGCAAAACGAAGACAGAATGATTTGGTGATTAGAGAACAAAAAAATCTGCTCAAATAGGAACAAAGAGCTGTTTTTTATCACGAGGAAGATTACGTTGTTTTATTTGTATGTGACAGTAAGAGGCCCTTTGCATACAAAGCATTCACACACGTCGCGGGATTAGATTCATCAACAGCAAACATTTCTGTCAAATTGCAGAGCAAAAAAAAACAAACAGATAACTCGTCTTTAGATAAGAGGTTTGGGTGCGACGTACACATGTGCTCTCAGAGCCGAACAATCAAAGATCAATAATTGTGAGGGGATTGCAAGAGTGCACAATCATTACCTATGAACTCCATTGTGTTGTTGGGCTTAATCAGCGGAGCTGCTGACAGAGAGCAAAAACGCAGTGATCAACTGGGCAGGCTCACACACACGTCCTCCTCACAGACCCCCGCAGTGAGCACACCACTTGCAGACACACACACACACGCACACACACTCGTCTGTGCTCGTCTCACATTACTGTGTTCACTTGGATCTCTTTCTGTGCTCCGTGTATCAGATGGGCCCTCGGTCCCTGTGGAGGGACAACACTGTAACGCGGCACTGTACAGCGTGTGCTGTCGTGTCTTCCATCCACATCCCCAAAGAATATTAAATGTCAGGCAGCAGATTACAATGTGCCTTTCAAAAAAGAAAAATCTTTACCCTGTGAAATCTGAATAAATACTACTAGGCTCGCAACCAAAGGTTTTTCCTTCATTTCTTTAGTATTTTTTTCCAAATATTCCTTTAACTAAAGTTTATAAAATGTCAGAAAATTTAGAAAAATTCAGAGTGAAATCTTCAAATTGTTTTTGTCTGACCAACAGTCCAAAAACTCAAAACAAAATGTATTTAATTTGCAAATAATATAAAACAAAAAGGCAGTAAATTCTCACATTTGAGAAGCATTAAGTGACTTTTTTTGATAATCAAAATAGTCAATTAATTTTCTCTCCCTGCACTGATCGATCTCCAGTTGAGCAATAACCTCTTGTTTTTCCAGATATGAAGACTCTCACGAACCTGCGAGCAGGACAACATTCGTATTTAGCCTCGCGGTAATTGCCCTCGGTGACGACGTTAATAAAAGACGTCTGGCAGAAGCTCAAGCCTCATTTGCATCAGCTGCCTTGCCAAACTCAACTTCAGCCGCACACCGGGCCGACATAAATCACTGCTCGGATTAATCAATCGCTCCAGAGTGGCATATCTGCACAAATTATTTTGTGGGCTTCAAAAGCGATTAAATTGCCAACCGTTGCTCGCGCTGATCTTCATGGTTCATTTAAGAGGAGGGCAAATGTCTGTGGCTTTTTTTCTCTTTTTTTTTTTATTGTAGCTACTGTACAAATCAATAAGAGCTGTTTGGGAGCAAAGTAAACAAAGGAATGGCACATATGGCCCTCTCTGGCTCAAACTGTCCTCAATGTGCTGCTAAGTTCTCATTGTCCATGCTGTTTGAGACAATAGACAAACCAGTGGTGCATTCACAGTGGCGTGAAGAGGAGGTAACATCAGTATGATGCTTTAGCTTTTCCTCATGTCTCGACCTGAGCTGCATACTGATTGCTGGAGAGGAGATTTTTTTTTGTGTGTGTATGTGTTTGGAAGACATGGAGAAGGAAGGTGTTTGGGGAAAAGAAGGAGAGAAAGAGTGTGTCTGTTTGTTGTTGTGGTTTCTGTATACGGTTGTGTGTGTGTGTGTGTGTGTGTGTGTGTGTGTGTGTGTGTGTGAGAGAGGCAGATAGAGAGCAAAGCCAGATCTTACCCTCCAGCCGGAGCGAGGCCATTCTTTGAAACTCGGGCTCCTGCAGCCAGCGGGACATCCTCTTAAAGGTCTCGCGGCCGGACTTGAGCTTGCCCCAGGGCTTGGGGTTCCTCAGGAGGTCAGACAGCGTGCCCTGTGACCTACACAGAACCCTCTCGGCGAAGATGGCCTGGGGGATGCTGTACCTCTTCAGCTCGGTGATGATCCTCTGGGCCACGTCTCTGGTGTTGATCTCCTCCCCGCCGCCGCCGCCCTGCGAGCCCGGCAGCATGCCCTCGCCGGGCGAGGACATGGCGGACGACGAGGAGTGCAGGTGCTCGCCCATCTTGGAGGCCTGCTGGCTTGGGTGATGGTGGGGCTGGTAGTGCTGGCTGTAGATGTGAGGGTGGTGGCCTGGGGCGTGCTGGTGAGCCTCCATCTTGTTCAGCTGATGCCCCACAGACACGTCGCCTCCGCCCAGGCCCGGTGGCGACATCTCGCGGCCAAAATCTGACGTTCGGCAGAAGAGGCTTCCCCCGTGGACGTCGTAGCCGGCGTGGAGCATCTGGCCGCCGTTGCCGTTGGGGCTGTTCCCCAAGCTGCCGTAGCCGTGCATGGAGGAGGCCAGGCCCGAACCCGTGGACGGGGGCGACAGGCTCTGGGACATGGCCAGGTCCTTGCCGTATGGGTTGTAGAAGTTGGTGCCGAGGCCCCGGTCCTCGCGCATGAGGGTGAAGCTGCCGATGACGTTGCTGACGGGGAGGCAGGGGTGGTGGTGGTGGTGGTGGTGATGGAACTTGTCGTCGAAGGGCTGCAAGGGGGTCAGGGTGGTGTAGGTGCTGCCGGAGCTGGACGGGGAGTCGCCGCTGTAGCCCAGTGCCGACATGGAGTGGTCGAAGCCCGACGGACGAGGCTCGGGCTCCAGGGACATGGAGGGACCCCCGAGGGAGGGCCTCGGGAAGGCAGCCGAGAGGTCCCGCGAGTGCAGCATGGCCCTGCCGTCCTGGCTGTGGGCCAGATCGGGGTGACCGTGGAGGGACATCTCCCCTAGACTCCCATCCATCTTCAAAAGCTCGACAAATAAACGTGTATTTATTGCACCCACCCCCCCTCCCCCCTTGTGTCGTTGCTCTCCTCTTCTTGTTATTGTTGTTCAGCAGCCGGGCTAACAGTCTGGAAGGTCTCTCATTACACCAGACTATGGATTTATTGATTTGTGAATTAATTGATTTCCGGGCTTATGGGGTGTCTAATTAATTATCTGATAACGTTAAGTACTGTCTTCAAACTCCCTCAAACTCCCAGAAAACGAGTTTGCGAATTGCATCAGGAGCTTAAACTGTGATTTTATTCTCACTTGTGCATCAGCGCTGGGCTTTCTCTCTCTCTTGTGTCTCTTTGGTGCTCAGCTGCGTTCCTCCCTCGGCAGAAGCCTCGCTTTTTGTGCCTGCTGTTGAGACAAGAAAGGTGCTGTTACTCCGGCTGCATTTTAAACTTTAACGGTCACAGAGAAGGGGAAAAAAACAGCCGAATAACGTTTCGTGTCATCGGCCTCAAACGCCAATTAACACTGGTGCATCCCAGACAACAACAATAACAGAAGAATTTAGAGATATTCCACCTCACGCGAGGAAACACGGACCGTTAATCACTTCGACCTAATCTCATCTCATTTTAAAGATGGGATTTTTTTTCCTTCTTATGCAAAGTTATGAATACAGAAGTAGCGCGCATGCGAAGCGCCGGACATTAAGGTGCGTATTAGGGTGCGTATTTACGCCACATGCAATGAATCTCAACGATGCGATAACTAACTAGCAAACACGATGGTGATCCAGAGACACACACACACACACACAAAAACCTCGACATGTGTAGATGTAGAGCTCCGTAATCCTACCTTTTTATGATCCACTTCTCAGAGCGCGTCCGCGGCCGTTGTCCGTCCTGTGCATGTCTCCGATTGTGTCGCCGAGCAGCCCTGCAGATTCACACAATTGGTCCGCTGCGCGCCCCGGGGTGCTACATTCACCGAAACCAGAGTGCAAAAAAAAAAAAAAACATCTGCGGTTACAGGCGAAAATCTATGTTTCTCTCGCGCGCGCTCTTCGGTCCCGATTCTCGGGTCTTTGTTTTCCACTCCAAAAAATCTCCGGGTCTAGCCTCGTGTGTGTGTGTGTTTTTTTCTTGCTCTACACTAGCAGCTCTCCTCTTTTTCTTTCATTATCTCGTGAGATTTTCCTCCTCCCTCCCTCCCTCTGCCTGCCACTTCATCGATCTCACCACCAACTCTTTCTCCTTCTCCTCCTCCTCCCCCTTGCTCACATTGACTCTCCGCTTTCAGTGCGTCACGGCCTTAAAAATCTGACAGATGTGCGATGAAATTCCTACTCCAATTAACCCTTTCTCTCCCGGGGGGAGGGGGGAGGAGGAGGGAGGGGTGACGGATGGGGGGGTGGAGGTGGAGATGCTCCCTTTCTCATAACCCCACAGGTTAAGCCTCCTTCAGCTGATTGCATGCACAATTTATGAATTATGTGCGCACATCCTGGTCATTGTGCTGCGCTCGACTGTTTATTGGATCTGATCAATGGAGGTTTCACGAGCTGCGACTAATGTCGTTTTGTTCTTTTTTTATGTAACAAGTGAAGCTGTAGCAGCTCATTGTCACTGTGAAGAACGTGGAGATGGAATGATAATATAAACATTTCGGGGTGTTTCTTCTATTATTATGATTTTTATTATTAGTAGAATTCTGCACTAACTTTTATTTTTATTTCTGTTTTTTAATATCAGTGCAGGACTAGACTGGAAGGCCCTGAGGTGATTAATAAATGAATTAAGGGTGAATATTATGTAAATCGCCTCACTGACTTATTGACTCGGAAAAAAAAATCTATCCATTTGCACTCTGCTGTGCGCCATCTCCACACCAGACCACGTCCCGTGTTCAGACATTCTATTTTTGTATTTATTTCTAGTTTTTCTGACTCCGCTTGTGCAACCTTTCAGGAATAAATGCTGTCAAGTGACGTTCGTGTTTAGCCCAGCTCTTAATCAGCACTCAGCACGCGCCTCCATTCACTCAAGCAGCCAGCTCTTCAGTCTGGAAAGTCCCTCAACAAGATCAATGCAACCCCCCCCCCCCCCTCAAAAGACCCTTGACCTGCTGCTGCATCAGCGTGCACGCGCAAGAGCGTCCAATGACTGTAATTGCGTGTCAATTTAGCGTGCCATATGTGGGCTGTATACGCTTGGATTTGTGTCCGTGTGTCATGCACGTGTGTGATCACAAATCCGCCTATGAGAGCTTACATGCATGCGTGCATGCAGGCCTGCACTTGTGTGCGCGTTTGCTTGTTGTATGCGCGCATTCACGTGATATTAGTGTCCATGTTTGTGTGCGTGTGTGTGTGTGTGTGTGTGTGTGTGCGGGTGCTGGCGCCCGTGTGTGTATGTAAGAAGCATAAATATACATCTGGTCAGTGTTGGTCAGGCCTGCGCGTTCATGTTTGAGCGCGCACGCTGGAGCCAGAGAAAAAACACACAGACAAGACAGAAGCAGGGAGGCAGAGCGCATACTAATCATATCTGTCTGTCAGTTTAATTTTCAGAGATGAGCAGTTCTGGCGTTTGGAAAACAGCGGAGCGGGTTGCGCGGTGTGGGACCGCCGGCTTCCCGGAGCAGATGCTGCCCTATCGATCCGCCCCGCGCGCATGCAGCCAGCACAGAGGGATAGCGAGTATAGCTGGAGGTAAAATGGTCAATGGCTACAGAGAGAAAATAAAAAAAAGGTCCTTTTCGAGGTCGGGGTGAAAGTTCACCTTCTGTGGCTGGAAAATCCGAGAAGGAAGGCTGACACCAGAGCTGCAAGGGCCCCCCAACTTTCTGCGGCCCTGAAGAGAAACCGAAGCAGAGGGGCGTTCAGGGTCTGGGTTTGTCCAGCCAAGAGACACTTATAGGTCTAATCTAATACTGGAAGAAGAAAAAAAATCCTACATCCCCTGCGTAGTGCGGAGTTATGATTAAAATGCATATTCCCAAAACTGGTGATTTTTGACTCTAGGTCTCAGATCGCCCAGACCATTTCCATTTGAAGCCCTCTCATCCGGAGCCACTGTCCTCACACTGAGAGCAGCGCGATCAGCAACATTACAACCAAAACATTTACATTTCAGCCATGTAGCTGATGCTCTCAGAGGGACAGACCTCCATCAGTAACACAGGCAATAAATAAACCCAGGGACACTCACATTTTTAGACATTTAGCCGCAGCTCTCATTACAAAGAGACTTTCAATGTGTGTCCAATAAGCTTTTAATCTAAAGCCAATATCGAGCGTGTTTTAGATTTTAACCATTTAGCTGATGCGTTCATCCTGAGGGACGTGCATCAAATCCCGCATCGCCAATATTACAAGCGGCCAATAGCGAGGAGGTCAGGGGTCAGATGGCATTGCTGTGACCGTAAAATGACCACGCAACTGCGCTGGAAAATAAACAGCATATAAGCCAAAGAGAGATGCAGAGAAGGGGGTTTATCTTCTGGTGTTGCAGTGGGGAAAAAGAAGGTGGGAGGAGAGCAATGGCTGCTCTGAAGCTCTGAAGCCTGCGAATGAAGAGGCACTCGTCGAGATTCATAAATTCATATTTTATAAGCAGAAAATAGAAAATAAATAAGCAGAAGCGGGGAGTTTTCTGCAGCGATGGACGTGCTGTGCATGCTCGCCCCCCAAAGAAAAGGCCTGCTAAGCTGCCCGAGCTGCAGCAGCAACAGGACGGAGGAGAAATACACAGTGCGACATTATTCATGTGCTTTTACACTCGCTCCCCCAAATCTGCTGTTTAATCACCGAGTAAACGTGATCACTTATTGGCAAATGATAATGGATGGAGCGCACGCGCGGGGTTTGCAGTTTTGAATGAGATATTGACTCTCTTGTTTGCAGCGACGAAAAAAAAAAACGGGGGAGAAAGAATCTAAATGACGGTGTTTTATTTTTTATTGCAGCGTCAATCAGAGAAGAAGAATCTCACGTGAATGATTAAAAGAGGAACCAAACAGCGTCCTTCTGTTTCTCAGGACCTGACTTGTGTCAAGCTGTAATATAATTATAATTATGTAATAATCACATATATGCTAACTTGCAGACTGATGCTGCTGTTGTTGTTCCTGCTGCAGGGTTTTGATTCTGACTCTAAATGAGCCGTTTTGTTTTCATCTAATCTGGATATCCCATGCATTATTTAATCACACACACACACGCACACTCACACTCACACTCACACACACACGCACACACACACTCTGTAATGTCTGGTAAACTTGACACCTGAAACTGAAATCCTGCATGTTCACACTGCTTTTCTGCCTCTGCAGTGTGTTATACACACATATATAATACAGTACATAATACATAGAAAACACAGGGTCATTCTACACATTATTTATTGTCATATAATAATAATAATAACAATAATAATACGACAGAATGTTTGGGACAGTCAGTATGTTCATCTTTTATTTTGAAAAGGAAACAAAAAGTTGACGCTGGTAAAAACAAAAAATCACAAGAAGTTATTCAACACTTTGCGAAACAAACTATTGAAACAAACAACTAAAAACAACCTTCAGAATGAATGCATCTTCATAACAAAGTGGCATGTATTGGTTGCTCACTACTGTAGTTCATTGTAATGTCATCACGGTACCTGCTGTAGCTTTAAGCCTCTATAACTAGCAGCGTGCCGGATGTGAGAAAGTGATTTCTGAATCTAAACTGAATTAATTTCAGTGAAGTTTTCGTGATAACTTTTGGTAAATATGTGAGGCAGCCTATCAGTTCTCTCCGTGACGCAAAACGCTCCAGATACAACACCGAGAGAAACAGGGAAACACAACGTCGACATTTCCTTTTTTAACTTCCTCCACCTGTTCGTGTGCGCGCGCACATCTGTCCTGTCCACGAGGTAATTATTAAAGAATGTAAATGTCATTTCTGCTTTTTAGAAGTCATCAAATTAGATATTTCTTATTAAACTTCAGAATCAATTTCATTTCCAAGCAGAAGTCAATAGAAACTCCAGTTTCTCGCAGTGTCTCTAAAGTTGTATTTATTTATTTATTGACTCTGTTTAATACATTACATTACATTACATGACGCTTTTATCCAAAGTGTATGAATTCAACATATTCAACAGAACTCGTCACCGGAAGTCATAAGTGCATCTCCTTTTTTAAACAAGCATCTGAGAGCATGAACCAGAGCCAATAGTAAAGTTGGCTTCTCAGCTGGTGTTCAGTGAGCGATATTTTATTCTCTGTTTTTAAAATAAAAGTTCTACAGCAGCAAACTTCACAGTGAAGATTTAGAGATGCAATAAAACTTTATATGTGCAGCTGCAGGTGTGAAGTTAAACTCCACAGAAATATGAGCATTACACATTCTCTTTAACTCTTATGAAATCTATTAAATACCTGTATGACAATATAACAGTCGTTATTACCATAACAATAATAATAACAATAATTTTATTTTTATTATAGCTTTATTTAGAAGACAATGTTGAAAGTGACTCAGCACTTAAATCCATATTTTATCGCCACAAAATAGTTGATATATTCTTAAAAAACAAAATAAAACAGTGAACCTGTACCATGCATTTGTAAATTCTATATACACCACATATACCTGAATCAATTATCTAAATAAATATATAAATATATTTCGATTGAAAAACCAAAAAGAAAATATATTAATCTAAATGAATTCCTTTTTGCATCAATTAACATTTAAACACGAATCTAATGTGAAATAAA